ATAAAAACATGACATATTGTTTGACTTTTAGGGTTGGTTACAACGCAAAATGACATGTTTTTATTTGTTCATTATCTATTACTATATTAAAAGCACGATGGCCCGTCGCATTCATTCGCTTTTTTTATACTTTAAAAATAGAGTTCACGCTGGATAAAATAGTAATTTAAATATTTTTCTAATATGTAGAACTTTCAAATCAAATAAAATATTATTTATTAAATCTTTCCTTATTTGAAGCATGTAGGACTCATAACTAAAATTTTGGTTATGAAATCTTTCCTTTTAAAATTAATAGAAAGTTTAATATTTTGGATTTCAAAATAAATATTATCGGGGAGAACTAGGAGTATGTTTTCTTTTCCTTGTATTTTCTTACGGCAATTTCCTTTTGAAATATGTTTAGGCATTCATTGTCCTAAGGAGGCTGATCACGAATGCTACAGGTATGGTCCTGGTCAGGGAAGGCTAAGAGGACGCCTCACATATGGGTAGCAAGAGGGCGCTTATGCCCTGACGGTGGGGCCTTATGGGATAGGGCCCATCCCAATAGGGACAACACCCCCCCTTCAAGCGCACCTCTGTATCGACTGGATCACTCTTTTGGTCTAGTCGGTGGAACTGGTAAATCACGCGAGCTGGTTAGGTGCGTGGGGCAGAGGGCTCGTAGTAATAGGTAACTTAGAATTTTAGGGGATAGTAAGTGGTTTATGCTTAATAAATTTTTTAATTATTAAATATAGTTTTTAAATATTACATAAAAATAATGAAAAGAAAGTATTTTTTGCATACGGAAGAAGTCCAAAAATTATTTATATTTTCTCTATTATTATTATAAAAGTAAAAATCCCCAATGCAAAAAGATAAATAAATTATTTTTTGTAATGTTAAGAATAAATAATCAACTCTTTGAATTAATTAATTAGCAAAAGAATCCAATTTAATTCTTTTTCAAAATCTCATGTTAGTAAAGTTATTTTTTAAGCTGATCAAACTCTTTAAGTTACACAAATTTATTTCCATAAGAAGAGCACTAGTGGTGACACAAATTAAAAATTGAGAAAAATTAGGTATATTATAGTATTAATTTGTTACTTATTTTCAGTATTAGGTAACAAAATTAATGAGAGTTTTCATAATATAGTCCTAAAGTTCTGATAATAAACTTTTATTGGACTAGATTTCTTTATTTAGTGAACAAGCTAAATTGGAGCAGCATTCATTATTAAGGGCTAATATTTTTCAATTTTTGTTCAATATCACAAATATATTATTTAATAATAGTCACGTTATTTTTTAAAATTATACACTCATTGAAATAGGATACATGCGCAAAGCACGTACCCTAAGGGTTAGAGAGTGGGGTGCTAACCTAGTTTGTTTTCATGAGAAAAAAATGGAAGTTTGTCGGATGAGATTGCGAGGAGTGTTTGGGGAGGTAGTTGGGTAAAATATGACTGGGTTCCAGCAGTGGGAAGTGCCGGGGGCATTATTCTAATGTGGGATGATAGAAACTTGGAGGTAAAGGAGATTAAGAAGGGAGTTTTTTCTTTAGTAGCACTTGTCAAAGATAGAGTGAGTGGGGTGGAGTCGGGATTTGGGGGAGTGTACGGACCGGTAGGAGAAGGGTCCAAGCTGTTTTTCTAGGAGGAACTGGCCAATGTGATGGGGGAATGGGATATTCCATGGGTTCTAGGGGGAGACTTTAACACTATTAGGTTCCCGGAGCAAAGATTACGGTGTACTCTGATTTCGAGGGCCATGGAGGAGTTTTCTGACTTCATCAATGATCACTTTCTCATTTGATCTTCCTCTGTCAGAGGAAATGTTACTTGGGCCAGGGCGGAGGATTCCAACTCAAGGTCTAGACTTGATATATTTCTGATATCTTTCTCCTGGGATGAGCTGGTGCTGAATGTGCTGCAGATTCCTTTACCTAGGCTGATTTCAGATCATTTGCCTATCTTGCTAGATGGATTCAGAGGGACGGGGGTGCGTGCTCCTTTCCGATTCGAGAATATGTGGTTGAAAGTGCCAGGATTTGGTGACAAGGTGAAAGAATGGTGGACAAGCTACGGGGTATTAGGGACGCCTTCATTTCGTCTTTCGAAGAAACTTAAATTGCTCAAAGGAGATATTATTAGGTGGAATAAGGAGGTTTTTGGGAGGGTAGAGGTTAAAATGATGGAGCTTATGCATGAATTGGGAGAATTAGAGAGAGGGGAAGGGGCGAGGGAGTTAGATGAATATGAGAAAGCGAGATTGGGGGATGTTAATAGGGAAATAGTCGAGTTAGCAATAGCTCAGGAGACTAGTTGGCGGCAAAAATCGAAGGCGCCCTGGGGATTCGAATTCCACAGGGTGGCGGTTGCAAATCGAAGGAGAAACTTCATAGAGTCCTTAGTTGTGGATGGGGTGAGGAGTTGAGGGAGAGGATGAGGTAAAAGGGGCGATAGTGGGGTTTTATGAGAACTTATACAAAGAGGAAGTTAGTTGGAGGTCGACTTTGGGGGGAATAGAGTTCAACCACATAGGGGAGGGAGACAATGAGTGGCTAGAAAGGGCTTTCGAGGAGGAGGAGGTGCACGAGGCTGTGTCGAGTTGTGCTGGTGATAAGGCCCCCGGGCCTGATGGTTTCTCCTTGGCCTTCTTCCAGCTCTGTAGGGACACCATCAAGGGGGAGTTGATGGAAGCCATTGAATACTTCCATGTGAATGGTGTTTTCGAGAGAAGTATAAGTGCTTCTTTTATTACTATTGTGCCTAAGAAAGAAGGTGCATTTTGTATCAGAGACTACAGGCCTATTAGTCTCGTGGGGAGCATTTACAAGATTATTTCTAAAGTGCTTTCCAACAGACTCAAGAAGGTTCTTGACGTGTCTGTTTCGTCCTCCCAGAATGCATTTGTGGAAGGTAGGCAGATCCTGAATGATGCTTTGGTGGCAAATGAACTTGTAGACTCTAGAAGGAAAAATAGAGAACCCTGCTTACTATGCAAGTTGGACCTTGAGAAGGCTTTCGAGCATGTCAATTGGGAGTTCCTGGATTTCATTATGAAGCAGATGCGGTTTGGGGCAAGATGGAGGGATGGATCAAGTTTTGCATTTCCTCAGTCAGATTCTCTGGGCTGGTTAATGGTATCCTGTGTGGTTTCTTTGGCTGCTCCAGGGGTCTCAGGCAAGGTGACCCCCTATCCCCATGCTATTCATTCTAGTGATGGATGCTCTGAGTAAAATGATGGATCGTGCGCCGGGCGGTAGCTTCTTGAGAGGATTCTCAGCTCCGATCAGGGTGCTCAGTGCCCGAAGAGTCTCTCATTTTCTCTTTGCGGATGACACCCTGGTTTTCTGTCATGCCGATATGGCTCAGTTGACCTACCTGAAGCAGGTCTTGCAGTGGTTTCAGATAGTATCAGGACTCAAAATCAACCTCGGCAAGTGTGAGATTTTCCCGGTGGATGAGGTTGCTAACATTGATGCTTTGCTTATGTTCTCATATGTAAGGTGGGCTCCCTTCCCACTACTTACCTGGGTCTCCCATTGGGTGCTTCGCATAAGGATACTACAGTTTGCAATCCAGTGATCGAAAGGGTTGAAAAAAGATTAGCAGGCTGGCAGAAACGGTACTTGTCAAAAGGCGGTAAGGAAGTGCTTATTAAAAGCATTTTATCGAGTATGCCCACCTATTACTTGTCCCTGTTGCAAGCTCCTGTGAGCATCACAGAAAAACTGGAGCGGCTTCAAAGGAATTTTCTATGGGATGCAGCGGATGGAACTAGAAAGTTTCATCAAGTGAATTGGTAGACAGTCACTTCCTCAAAGAAGTGGGGTGGACTTGGAGTAAAAGATCTTAGGGTATTCAACAGAGCTTTGTTGGGGAAGTGACTGTGGAGATTCGGGGTAGAAGAGCATGCTCTATGGAGGGAGGTCATAGTAGAAAAGTATGATTCCATGGGAGGGGGTTGGAGGACCAAGGCAATCACAGCACCTTTCGTGTGTGGCATGTGGAGGAGCATCATGAAGGATTGGGAAGCCTTCCAGTGGCAACATCACTTACAGGGTGGGAGATGGAAGGAGAATCAGCTTTTGGAATCATAGGGGGTGTAGAGAGGATACTCTGAGGGTCTCCTTCCCCACGTCTTCAGAATTTCAAACCAGAAGGAATTGATGGTCCAACAGATTCGTAAGGAGCATAAAGGGGGGGGGGGGGGGGGGGTAGTATGTGACCTCTCATTTAGAAGGAACATGCAAGATTGGGAGATTGCGGAGCTCCAAGATTTGTTGACACTGCTATATGGGCAAGACAGG